GATTTCAGGACAGTGGTGGAGTGCCAGAGCCAGGTCCCAGCTGCAACCCTGGTAGTTCTCATGAAAATGCCAAGTATCTGCACTGGTACTCAAAGAGTATCTGTGCATCCCTATTTTTTTCCAATAAAAACATCTATTTAAAAAAACATGTTTTTTACAGAATGCACACTATCATAGAACATTATGGGTTTTCTAAATTGAGAACTCAGCAGAAGCTGTTTGTCTTCCATCTCTCTTTGATTGAAACTCCATATGGCCTGTCTTTCATTCTGAAAAAAATATATATCTTTAAAAACACCAATCAAAAGACAATGGGGAAAATTATCAAAACTGGAGCAGACAGAATCTGGAGCAGTTGCCCATAGTAACCAATCAGCTTATTTCTTCAGTTTGTTCAGTTAAGCTTTGACAATGAAAGACAGAAGCTAATTGGTTGCCATGCAAATCTGCTCCACTTTTGGTAAATTCCCATCAATGACCTTTAGTAATTACTAAACAGCAGGCCGTGTACTGTTTTATTTCATTTTAACAAAACAAAGAAGATGTATCATTTACTCAATAGTTTATGTTGAGATACATATAAGCTCTGCGCAAACTGTTGGTGCTATATAAATCCTGTATAATAATAATAATCTCAAGATGAGCCTTCATATATATAAATAAATCAATAAATGAATACATCAATCTATAAATCAAATCAATAGCCTCATGGATAAGCACTTAGTGTGTACAACAAACTAAAGTGGTCATTGATGTCTGTGAGTTGTAGTACCTCCTGCTCAATTAAATAAACCTACCAATCTTTTGCATGCACCTTTGTGGGCCCATTTGTATGATGTGATTATAATCTAGTGGAACCAGGCAAGGTCCAGGAGCCACAGTGCACTGTTTTGGCCAGTCGTGGCAGCTGCAGTGAACCAATTATGTTGTTGAAATAAAACCAATAGTCATATATATTAAAACATAGGGGAGTTTATGGAAAATGCCAAAATCACATAACATTCAGACCTTTTGGGACTTTATGACAGTTACCAAATACAAGGTAGATAACTTCAAATAAATTAAACAATACATTTCAATTAGAGAGAATTATTAATGGCCATCTGTTGTACGCAGATTTGAACTGCATTTACAATGCAATAAAAATACAACATATACAAGTATAGATAAGAGGGCTCATCAGAATGATATTATGTATTGTGTGTTAATAATTTGCAAGTTATTATCAGTCTACATACATTTTCCATTTACATTATTGTCATCAAATTGATTACAGTTCATATACTGCAGGAGGAAACTATGTTCTACTAGAAGCAAAAACATCATTAAAAGGACATTTCTGAAATTGTCCCCATTATTCTTGAGTATAAAATGTAAAAGTGGCATCAGTCAACAGTTAGAAGACAACTTATGTAATGAACTTAATTTATCTTTGAGAAACTATACAACAAATATATATTATATATATATATATTTCTAACACAACAAAATTAAACATAAGTTTTTTGTTAAAAGTTTTTTTAAGTAGTATGTTTCTGTATTGCAGCTTTTTATTAGCATCAATTAACAATGTTTATTTTGAATTCTTCTTAGTGGTGTGTTCATTTGGACCAGGAAACACTGTCCATTTTGATTTCTGCAGAGGTGTACTTTCTATTCCATTGCGTCTGTCGTTTGGTAGATGAAATGATCTGTGCACACTTCCCAGGTAAGCAGCATTGGTGATCGATCAGTGCATTCAAGAGTGTCTTTTTGTTCATCTCGGCTCCAAGCTAGTAACAAATTAATCTTTCAAGGAAGATTTCAACACAATGTTCTGTAGCAATGTTCTTAAATTCCTTCTTAAATCAGGGAAGTTAACCCTTAATTCTTTTTCTGAATTATTTTAACATGTTCACAAAACCTTGAGCTGGTCAACAATTGTTCATAACTCCACAATAGATTTTAATTTAAATAAATAGAAAATAAACAACAATAATAATAAATAAATGATACATCAGGCCAGGGAGTGACTTCATGAATCAGGACCCACTGGCCTAACACAGTATATTAAGTAAGGGGTGCTTTCATTCTATTACAGTTATAGTTATTTTATACTTTGTAAACATACGTTATTGGTAGAGGTAATTCAAAGAATTGCTAAATTCTATTAATTGTGTTATTAAAATAAAATTAAGGATCTGTGCAGAAGAATATTCACTTGTATCTATGAAGGAAAGGTTTTATTCACATAGATATATTTGCTTGGAATCACGGTATCACGTCATTTTATTTTTTTTAAATAATACTCTCTGGTGCAGTTCCTGTTCATTAAAACAGAAATACATGTGAATTAACATAATATAAACTTGGGAGCAAGCTTGGCAGATATATTTTCTGGTTCAGCCAAAGCCTTACAATAACCAAAACCATGCCCCTCCCTTCTCCCAAAGGTTACTACTGATCAGCAAGGCTGTCCATCATAACGATGGACCAATAGTGAGCCATGGGGGGGGGGCTAATAGGAGCACAGCCAAGCACAACCCCAGGAACTGAAGTTGCTATTTGCATATCAGAGTGTGCAGAGCTTGGGGGTACCTTGAGAGCTCTACATGGGGTACAACTATACATATAGGCACCTTTAGGTGTTCAGGAACTATGAAGTGAAGACAGGTTTGCTGTAAAGGAGGACTCAAGACAAAATACATTTATCATTTATTAGACTCTAATGATATGCTTACCTTTTTCTGTGTTTTGTTTTAAGCACTGTTTCACAGAAATGATAATGATCTACATCAGATTTTGGCGACTACACCCCTCAAAGCCTGCTCGAAACTCAGTGTTTCATGTGTGTCCAAGGCGACACATGGTATTGCATATCTGAGCAAACACTACTCTTTATAGCAGCAAAGACATGGAGGTTCTGGAGTGTGATAGAAGACTTAAAGTGACACTAAACACAGGAGTTAAATCTTAAAAATACATTCAAGTATCTTAACTAATAACAAAAATGTATCTTATTTGTGTATCACTCTGCTGTAGATCCTCAAATCATCTCTGAATTCATGCTGATACTGTCCTTCCTTCTGGAGGGTGGCTACTTTTGTTCCCCATGGTCTCTGTGTCCCTCGTATTGAGATTGTAGTACATCACAGGAGCAAGCTTGGAGCGGTGGCTACTCTAAATTACACACAGAGACCACGGGGAACAAAAGTAGCCACCCTCCAGAAGGAAGGACAGTGTCACCACCAATTCAGAGATTATTTGAGGATCTACAGCTGAGTGATATACAAATAAGAAACATTTTTGTTAATAGCTAAGGTATTTGAATGCATTTTTAAGATTTAACTCCTGAGTTTGGTGTGACTTTAATTAGATCCCCTTAGTGAGTATTTGTTGTCAGTTTGTTGTCAGTACAAGACTACAAAAGGGCCTTTGCAAAAAAGTAAGATCAATGTATGGCGCACACATTAATTATCTACATACACTGCACAAAAAGCAATTACCAGTGCTGAAGTGCATATATTCTTGGTAAAAATAACTATTTTGTGTGCACAGTGGTTGCATGTGACTATAAGAGGCAGCAGGGTTTTAGGGCAACTAAATGGAATATTCAGCCAAATATTACAACTAGGTCTTGTTGACACATCACACCTACAAATCTAGTAATTCATTTATAATAGGGTGGTAATTTAGAGGACCAAGGGGAGATTCTAGAAATATAGTCTGAGTGTATTTATCGTAAAATGAAAACGTAAGAGAGCTGTGATGAAAACTATGGGTAGTGGAATCAATATCACAAATTAGTGCCAATCTTAAAGCTAAAGTTTAATCTGCCTATATTTTGCCTTCCCTTGTTCATCTCTTACCCCAGCAGCAACATGCTAATTACATTTTCCTTACATTTCCTATTGTGGACCCAGTGATGTAATCGCTGTGTATCTCTGCTTCTACATGCAATGCAGGCAGATCATGGCTGGTCGCGGAGGGGGGAGCAGGGTGCTGTATATAGTTTTCTGAAAACATCACAGCACCTGCCTCAGTGCCTCTTAAGAACCATCAGCTTTGTTACAAACAACAGGCTGGCTCTGGGGAGGAGTTATGCAAATATCAAAACATCTTTATGTGGGGGTGTCAGTCAGGAGAAGCAAGTGTTTCTAGGAAGACTGCAGTTGCATGGTAACACCATTACATGATACTCAGCCTCCATGATTAAAATAACTAAAATCCAATTAATCAAACGGCCAGGGGCAATGTTGTTCAAATCAGTTTCATTCTCTGCAAATGTTAATACCTTCCTTGCTTTCATTGATATGTGTGCCTGGGGAAACACAGTAACTTTGGAAGAGCATGTTACTGCCCCCTCTTCCCCCCAAAGTTATAGTGCTGCTACTTGGTGACTGGCCACCCAGGCACCTACCACTGTCATATTGTGACAGTGGTACTCTCTGTCCTGAGTAAGCTCTAAGTCATGACTGGGGTTTACACAAGACTTCTTTTCTTTGCACCTTAGAGCAAACAGAGTGTCAGTGGAGCAAAGGGTAAGTATGTATAGGCAGCTGTGGCGGCAGAACCTGTTGCATTACCCTGCATAGACAATGCACAGGTTGACTTTAAACCATCCTATATATACTGTAGATAATGCATCGCTGGACTATTTCATCATTGCCCATTAAAAAGGGCAGTTTTGACTATATAATTTACATTGTTTCGTCACAAATATCTTCACACCAACATTAAACTAATAACAGATTTTAAATTCAGTTATACAAAGTAAAATTGAAATGATGTCCTGGCTCTTTGCTCACCCAGCATTCTAGTATCTCACACCCTCGGCAGTTACCTATCATTTAGATGCACAATTAATTAATTAGGAGTGGACAATAGTTTAAAATAAAAGAAGGGGCATCATTGTCATAGCGCATGCCAACACCCTTAGTGTTCAGTATTCAACTTTACAAAGGTTTCTAATGTTTCATACAGATTTATTTAACCACTCCTTGCAAGATAGTCAAAGTCTGTGGCTTCGGTGCTTAGAGGCATTGGACTTGGACTAAAACGACAATCATTGCAGTCTTCATGTTATAGATATAATGCTTTGATTGCATGTGAGACTGCCTTTTTTAATGTGATTTTTTTGGAACGATTGCTTATTTTTCAGAAAGATGCTGTGTGATATCATGGACGCTATAGATAGTGTATTTTCATTATATATATTTATATATGTACATACATTGATCTATTTCACATTCCAACCCTCTGGATTTTCTCAAGCTAACACATAACCTACTTCATGTAGTAGGTCTGATTAGTATCAGGGTTCATTTGATGCACAAGGCTTAAAATCCAGCACTCTCAGAACTGCTTCTGTAGCTGGGGCTTCGACTGTGGCTGGGAGAACGACTCCGACTACGGCTGTAGCTGCTGTAACTGTCATAGCTCCTGCTTCGACTACGGCTGTGGGAGTAGCTGCTGAGGGAGCTGGAAGATGGGCTTGGTCTATAGTAAGGAATTGGGCGCTTCCGGGCACTGAAAATTAAAGATAACAAATTATAATTACATTGTTGTGCTTATCATAGGTTGGCACCAGAAAGGCAGAACAGGAGGAAAACAATCTTGTTATTGGTTAATAATTCACTGAATAAACAGACAATTGTTAGACCTGAGCATTCTAGCCATAGATGTTATTTTTTTAGGCTCTAAAAGCAAAGGGTGGTAATGGGTGCAAATCTTACTCCATAACATGTTTTGCAGACAGATGTAGCAGTACAGCTACCAAGTGGAAGCATTCATTACGCTGCAACCACACTGTGAACGGCAATCAGTTCATCTCCACATTGACCAGATATATATTTTTCGCTGTCTCCTCTATCTCTGAGGAGAACCTCAGTTTGCAGTAGAAGGAGGGCAAAAATGCCAGCCATGTGAGTTTGAAGTGATGTTCCTCCTTTTTTTTTTGAGGGGGGGGGAGAGCCAAGAACTACACTCTCCAAGGAGCTAAAAAGATTTCTGGGGAGAAAAACTGTTAAACAGCAGGCAATGCATCAGCCAGCAATGAATAATGCTATCCCTGTTGAATTGAGTGTCTGTGGATTAAGATGTTGTTTGGTTAAGTACATTTTCCTGAGCATGCAAATGAGTGAGTTTTCATTCTTTACAAAGTCGCTAATAAAGAATATGGGAGGTGGGAGAGCTGGTTAGTTGGAATGGAAAACTGGAATTCGAATTCTTTAAAAGCCCATAGTGGAAAAATTTACTCAAACGAAGAGGAGACTGAGCATGATGACTGGGCAAGGAATATGTTATTAAACATGATCTCTACTTATCAGAACTCACAGTTACCATAAAGATCATGGTTCACACTTTGCACAGCTTTGATGAACATATCCAAGAGATAATCATACTGCCACGTCTGTATGTATAAATCCAAAATAACCTTGTATTTTATGATATATGTTTCTGTTGAAGTCTTACCAGCATAAAATATGGTGTTTTATAAACCACAGCATACACATCATAACATAAAAGGCTGGGGATGTTGACAGTTGTAATTCAAAAGCAGTGGAAAAACACAATATAAGATTATCCATTGGAATCATAGTTGGTCAATAAATTAAAAAAATATGACCTTCCTGCTTTGTTTGCTCCACATTATCCACACCTCAGACAGACACTAGAATTGTTGAGACAAATGTTTAGTAGATAACTGAACCATTAAATATGAATAAGTTAGTGTCAAACAAAAAGGAACTGCAATCAATTACAACACATGATAAGGCAAACTATTCTAATTGGCATTTGGCCAGCTTGTATGCCTTTGGAAATGCAGAGCCCATGAGATATTTCAGGATTTAAAGAACATTACAAAAATGCTATTTTCTTTCATTTGGACCTAGTGTTTTACATTGTATACCCAGCTGACACATGATGTAAATTGCAACCATGAACACTAAAGCTATTTGCACATCTCTTACAACTGTTTATATGACAGGACCTAGCCAACCGTAAATGACAAGATGGCAGGAGAAAGCACTCTTACTTACTTCAGCCCCTTTTTGACTTTATGAATCTTGACACCATTTTTGTTTTTATAAAATGAGTGATGGTGACATAGGCTGCATGCTGAAATACTGAAAAACAAACTTTTAAGACTACATCTTTCTGTCTGTCTGTTTGTCTGTTTCTCTGTCTAGTTTCAGGACATAGGAAACTATCAAATGAAATAGGAATACCAGAAACGGAATTGCAGTTCTCTTTTGCTTTTGGAAACACGTTAAAGCTTGGCAAAAGCTGTGCAACATATATAAGGCAGAAAGAAACAGGTAGTAAGAAGACAAAGCCAGAAACCCAAGTTCCCCGATTTTCAACAGACTGTAAGAAAACGCACATTTTGTGAGTGATTAGTGAATGTGGTAAAGGGTTACATTTTATAGTAAACACCTGATAGTGATTAGGTTACCAGAGTAACCATGAAGACTTGCTGTAACGTACATCATTGGCAGCTGATCTTCAAAAGGAACCTTGTGGGATGGAATAGCATAAAATCATGTGACATACAAATAAACAGTTATACAATAAAGTATACATTAAGTAGCCATTAAATCAAACAAATGTGTTTCAGTGACTGAAAGTATGAAAAATATCAGCCAACTATAAAATTAGCTGTTTTCAGCTCCAAGAACTTGCTGTAGATCTCAGTGCAGTACATGGACTATTATTGCTAATCTTGGCGCAGGACAGCTTGATACTTTTACATTACAATGTTGCACACAGTCTCTGTATACACTCTTTTAGGGTCGTTCACACCATAGCCATACCATACACAGTACCATTCATCGCACCTACCGTGCGGTAACAGTGCGGGAGTTGCAATTAATACAAGGCCCTGGTATGAACGGGCCCTTAGATGCACCAACAACTGTGTAATGCAAGATCAAGGAAATGTATACATTACAAATTATTTTGTGAATCTGCTGAATAGTTTCATAGCTAGAAATCCTGCTAGTAATAGTGCTTTTTTATTGCAGACTGATAATACTAAACCATTGGCTTGCAATTAGCAGCAGCATTGCCTGTCTGCTGTGCAAGGTCCTTCAGTAGTTTGTTAGGCTGCCTCTCAGGTCTATCAGATAGGCAGCCCAATGGCCAACTGAAAGAGCTCAAACAGCTGGCTGACAATACTATTGCTAATTGAGTGGCAGTGGTTTAGCATTGTCAGCCTGCAACAGAAAGTACTATTACTATCGGGACCTTCTGGAAAGAAACTTTGCAACTAATTCAGCCCAAAAATAATTTGCTTAAGGAAATTGTATACAGTGGGGCATAATGCCAAACATACTGAATGATACATTTTGAGATTATATACATTTAATGTTCTGGTTATCATTTATTCATTATATCGCAGCAGGGAGGTAGACAGCTTTGTTTGAACTCCAGGTGCAAGCCTATCTTGAGGGAAAAATACAGCAAGAATTTGGGAAAAATCCATCTCTCTTGACCGACTCTCTGCCTATGAAGGCTTATCCAGGGGATTCCCCAAAATGGCCATAAAGGTCCTTATTGGATGAACTAACTCTAATGTCTAAAAGTACCTTACGTTGTTATTATTAGATTAGGTTAAGGTTAGTAATAGGGTAGGGGTTGGGGGTTATGGTCAAGGGCAAAGATTAGGGTTGTCGTTAAAGAATTATGGGTGTGAGTTAAATAAAGCAAATAGACTATTCACTTTGCAAAGGGATTTGTCATTAGCTTAGTGAAAGTGATGAACATTCACTTTGCAAATAGAATCCCAATTACTTGGCAAATAGAAAAAAACCAAGAGTATTTTTCCTTGCACATGCCTGAATGATGGAAGTCAGCAGAGCTTCAGCTCATCTACTAAGCTATGGGGAAAGTTCCCTTGCAGAGTGAACAACCTATTTGCCTTTAGTAAATAAACCCCTATGTTTAGGGTTCATATTAATTATACATTTTTTAGGGTTAAGGTACAACTGTAATAGTTAAGTGTTCAAGTTGGGGTTAAGGGTTAAGGTCAGGGGTTAAGAAGAAGTTTAGGTGTTAGGGGATTAATCATTAGGTTAAAATTTAGGATTCATATTACATACCAGGTTAAGTTAAATTAAGTATGTGTTTGAATCAGTTTATGTGTTAAGGATTACAGTTCAGGGCTAGGTTAAGGGTTAATATAAAGGGTTAGGTTAAGTTTTATTGTTTTGTGTGAGGAAATTATTAACTGTTAAGGTCAGCAGTCAGGGCATGTCACAGCAAACATTTTTCACTTAAGACACCAAAATCCCTCCACTGACAACAACCTGTGCCAGGTTCTCAGTGTCAAAAGCTAATTTACTGCCCGAGTATTTCTGCTCAGATCTAACTAGGAATGCATAATCAATTTTGTCTGAAAGTGTAATGCTAAGATATCACAGATATATTAATTGATAGCTATTGATAGTTAACTGGCAAACCTTAATCAATCTTTCAGGCAAACGAGTGTCATTTTGGCTTAAAACTATGTTTTTCCTAATTGATATGATACATTTAAAGTTACACTTTTGTTTTGATGTTTCTACCTAGGACCAGCAGATATAGCCTCTTTTGTTCTATGTTCAGATTTCTGATTTTAGGTTATATGACAAGGATGTAATACTCCACAACTGAAGTCTATGAACTTTATATTTTCTGGTTCGGAGACTGGTCCCCAGGGACCCCTCAGTAGATCTGTTGTATTGCAAGGTCAACAATCTCTCCTTTTTAAATTTGGAATGGTTTAACCGGCATGTCATACAACACCAGCAGCGGGCTCCTGTAGAGAGATGACGCATGTATTCGTATGTGATACAATTAAATGCGGTTAGGAATCGATCACTATACCTGGACACATCGATTGTGCGTCCTTGAACGGGTGACAGCTGCCACTTGCAGACAGCAGATTTGTGATCCCTGTTGCAGGAAATCACAAGTTCCTGACCCGAGAATCCCTAAACACACCTACATCGTAGGTATGAATGAGGACTTATCCTTACTTACGGTCTACTCATGAGTGTCAAACAGAACAGGTAGTAAAAGGAAATCCTCTCAGTATGGACACAGATAGCAATAAAAACACAATTTGCAGTAAATTTAGGAATAATAGAACATCTATCAGAATTGTATAACTGTTTGTGTGCCCAAGTGGAAGGCTCTAACCCTATCCAAAACTGAAAAACAGTTTGTAATGAAATTGAGCTTTGAGGATTGTTTCTTATTAGGATTCTGTAAATGCAACATGTAGACTTTGTGGCAATACCAGAAATGAATGTTACCTCTCATGGATGGATGGATCTTTCCATTTTCAAGAAATTGGCTTGTTAAATAGTTGGTCACATCTAGACTGGACTTTGTGATTGATTGACTTGGGGGAAGTGCATACCAATAATACAATTATATTTATGCTTTGTTACTTATACTGTATACACAGGTATAAATCTTGAAACACTGCTGTAAACTACAGTGCTTTTTTCAAATATGTTCTAATGAATGCATGATAAAATGCATGCAAACATACACAAAAGGTCAAGGTGAGTTTATTACTTTACCTTGTAATTCTTCGTGCCTCCATAAAGCTAGGAGAATCCCTCCTTCTCTTCCTAATAGGCGAATAACTTCTGGAGCGACGGCGGGGTCTTGCTGCTTCCATATCATTATGTCGTGATCGATTCTCACCATCCTTAACCCTAATATAGGCAGTAGCACATAAGCAATTAATACACATTCTTAATCAAATGAGTATGCACATACTAATCGTCATGCACAATAAACGGAAAGGACTACAAAACATAGATTATATCATCTTCATTACTGGATTTTGCCAAAAGCATTTTAATAATATTCCTAAACAAACATTTAATTGTGGTGGTTTGCTCATTGAAGAGAATGTTTGAAGAGAATGAAGAAAATGTTTCATGTTCTATCATCAGGCTGATCATCAATGACCATACTGCTTGATGAATAGACTTTGGGATTGCCTGCCTCTAGAATAATGAAGTAATAGAATGCAGACAGGCAATGTGCGCTGAGCAGATCCACTGGTTGACTTATAATAGTATTGCACATGCATGCACTATAACAAAGACACATTAGCAACAGTTCCTGGTCATCCAGGCAAACAGTACTCAACAATTTTTGACTCGGTAAAGTGGTATAATTAATGAAAGCTGTCAAATGTAAATCTGTTTTCTTCTTTTGTTAATTAAGAAGCAAACACAAACCAAAAGGCTGCACACCAAAAGCCTTGTGGATATATACATAGTTGTGGTATTCTTTTACAAAATGTTTATTTTACTGTTTTATTGGTTCTATATTCTAAAGATGATCACATCAACAATGGCGCCAAATATTTTTTAAGCCTATAGTTATGCAAATCCATCCATATGGCCAGGATAGACAATGTGGTAGTACAATTACCTCATTTAAGTATGGATGTGGCCACTACACATCCATCATTGTTTTTCTTATATTTTCTGAGGGTTCAGCTTAAGCACCCAACATTTCATTAATTTAGATTTGACTAAACATAAATATATATGGATTCACATATCCAGGGATCTGGATGGTGATCCATTGTTTAAATAACCTAAACTTTTTCCTTAGTACTGGATGCAGTGGGGAAGAGTTACAATCTCTGTCAGGTTTTCCTTGCTGTCTGTGTCCCCATTGGGCAGATGAACCCTATCTGTTTGTGCTAGTGACCAATGTCACTGTGACAGAAAGTGATGAGCAAATTTACAATTTTACAGGTGCCACAGAACAAAAGGGTGAGGGCAAATATTCCATTGGGGAGACCTGGTCTGGTGACAGATGTTTGAAAGGGGAATTCCCCTCACTCTGTGATTTGTGTTGTATCTTTAGGACATGAAGTGAACAGAACTTTCCCCAACAGGACACAGACAGCATATAAAAACTGACAGGGGTTTAAATCCTTTTCTTTTCTATACAAAGTGATACATACACTTTGGCTATACATACACTTTAGGTTTGTGAAGATAAAAAGGGTGACTGATTGAAAGAATTAGATAATTTTTCATTTTTTTTCTATTTTGAATTAAATAAATTGCAATGTTTGATCAAACAAGTTAAAAAATGTTCTGTAGCCTGTAACTTTAAACTGTACCTGTTTACAGATTTCTTTTGAGATGTAGATCGAGACCTGCTTCTGGCCATCCTTTTGTCACGTGACCTGGAGCGGGATGGAGATCGGCTGGAACTCCAGGAGCTGCCTCTGTGGCCTGTGCTTCGTGCTGGACTCTTTTTTCTGTCAGAATTCTGTCTAATATGCTTCACTGAAAACTCAGAGCAGCTATTCTGTCTACCACGATGATGCTTTATTTTTATCCTGTGACATACAAACTCTAATTATTTCTAGACATCATCTCATTAGTACCTTTTTTCTTGCAACCGCAGACATAAACAAAATGTAAATAAAAGCTAATAATTACATTTTACACACACATTCAGTGGAACTATGTTTCAAGTCCAACAATTAATATGTGCTATTTAAAAATGACCTTACTTTTTGGCAGGAGGACCATGGTTCTTTTCCATTTCAGTGGTATGTGATAATATTGACCCTTCAGAATCACTGCTGTAGCTCGTATTTCTTCCTGAGTTTACAGAAGGTTCCTTATGTATCCTGGTTCTGCCCCTGGACCGCCCATGGTGTCTATCTGATGATGGCGACCTAGAGTCTCGTCGATGTTTATCATCTGATGAATGGCCACCTTTGCTTGATGAAACAGATCTTGGGCTTCTTACATCATTACGATTATTAGCCTTGTGACGGCTAGGTGATGTTTCCACTTTTGGATGTGTCCGTAATGATGGAGAGATTGAATTCGGCCTCTGCAGAGTAAAATAAGTAGAAATGCGGGGAAAAGAAAAGATGGGGAGATGCTTCAGCATAACTTCATCAGCATGGAACAGAAATATTAACTCACAGTTGCATACAGCACGTTAACACAGAGATTCTACACTGAGACTATTTTTTCTGCTTAGCCTTCTGACCCCAACAATGCAGCTCATGCAATTTTGCATGCAAAACGCAACAAAAAGAAAATAGAAAACAAAAAATGATTTCAAAGAGTGGGTGGGGGGAGAGAGAATTCTAAAATTAAGGTCTCACATAAATAAAAAGTAAAGAAAATTAAATTTATGTAGATTACAAAAGTATGGGTTAAATATTGTTTGGATAAAAAAAAAAGAGAAAGTAAAGGCAAATAAATAAAAAGTGAGGAGTGAGGTAGACATCTGGACAAAACAGCACAAAAACTGGTAGAGAGATTGAGAAGGGAAGAGGAGAAAGTATAAAAAATTAAATAATAAAATAAAATCCACAAATGTTACTGAGAAAAGTAAATTTTCTTTTTTTAAATTCATTTTAGTTTTTCTGAATTCCTTTATTTTGCCGGTAGAGTACTGTTGAGCTTTCATCAGCACCCTATGTTCTCAGTTTTGTCACTCTGTGATTTTTTTTTTTTTTTTGATTTTAAGTCCCTCTTGGTTAACATCCACTTACCAAGAAAGTGGCATTTCCTCCTTTAGTAGGTAAGGTATGAAGAGAAGGGAAAAGTGGGGCAACATAAGTGCATCATTAGATTCACAAAAATGCAAGAGAGATAGAGAGAGAGAAAAAATAATAATAAAGAAAAAAAACACACAAACCCACTTTCCTGGCCTTTTAATTTGAAAATGCTTGGACAGGCCAATAATGAGGTTTGAGTGACCTTGGTTAAATATATAAGGAATGTTTGCTTAGGTTTTAAATTTAAGGCCAAATAGTGTATGCTTTCTTTATTTGAAATAATTTTCTTGAAGAACGTATTGGATCATACATCAGTATCCAAAACCTGAATTGAACAATAGTGGCTTTGAAAGCGCAAAGAGTAGTAACTCTGTACTGTAGTTCTGTATTACATATCATCCGCAAAAATATAAAAAAGAAAACAGAATTTGTTTTTAAAAACATGATGTTATTTTTTTGAACAGGAGTTAGAGTTCTAAAAATGTATGCATGTCCAATACGGTATTCATTTTCAATAAATCATATCAGTGCTAGCTTACTTGTGTAGCTGATGTTGACACATATCCAAAACACAGATATCGTAAACCTAACTAACATGGGCTTAGAACTGTTTAAAACAGTAAAATTATTGATAAACAGCTAAGCACACCCATGATGAAGATTCTGGGGGTGATGTGTCAATGTAGTAAGAATGGGAGCTGTACCTTGCCTCATTTTGGTCCAATTTGGATGTTAACCAAATATTAGCAAACAGATGTAACCATATTTACAAAGTTGTATCTCAGGATATTCAGTATCACTAGTCAACATGTGCTTTCTTCCTAGCTGTGAAAAGAAAAGATGGCATATATTTCCTGTTGTGGTAATACTAGTTACATTGATAAGCTTGGAAATCCAAGGTACAATAGCTATTTCATACAGCCTAACAAGTAATAAACAAACAGAATGAATGATAAATGCCAAGTGTATCTGCTATTGACGATGGGCAAAGAAGGTGTTAGAGAGAAGCACATTTTTTCCTTTTAATGTTCATTTCTGCTGCACGACTGAATATTATTGCTACCCTTTGAGTGATTTATAATATCAAATTTGATACATCGCCCCTTTATCTTAAAAAAACATCATATTTGTAACGCAGAATATGTTCTGAGAAACTGCACACAAAAACAATGAAAAAAGCCTTACAAAATGGAGGTGGGTTTTGAAAAGTGAAACAAAGACCCTTCTCTGACAAGTAATCTGTTATTTTCTGGGAAATAAAAATATTGCTACAGAAAATCCCATGTAAGTTTTAAAAGGAAAAAGCAAAACATATGTCATATCTCGAAAAGGTCTTGGATGAATTTTCCCAGTCTTTTGGGGAGTAATACCACTTTCAAGAAGAATTATCTATCCAATATTTTTTTGAATCATTTCTCTCCTTTTAAAGAGAACCAGTCACTTTAAAATTAAAAAATGTAATATATGGAGGCTTATTTACTAAAAGAGTTGAGAATCTTCAAACAAAAAATGTTGTAAATTTTCACATTAATCATCCAATCACATGGAAAAAAAATCCTGTTTAGTTATTTTATTTGCATATGACTGGATAATTGCAGTGAATATTCACACAATTTGTTGTGTGAAGATGTTCAACCCTTTTAGTAAATGTTGCAACTGTATCCTAGAAACAAAAGGAACAAAAAGTTATGATGTCAAAGTCTGCCAGCAGAACATGACATAAACTTTCTGCTGTATTTATTGACAATCCCACAAGTCTATGATTGTACTGTTCACTTGGGGTTGGATGGAGGGATTAATTAGACTAGTTTAAGAGCACTGCCCAATCACTACTAGCTGTCAGTGTAATCTGTTATTCCACAGAAGCAGGTGGATGTATAAGAAGTCATCATAATAGCATAAGGTGTACAGTGATCAGAAATATTATTAACCCTTGTCTGACAAACTGTGATGGAAAACTAACAGTCCCAACATGACAAACTATACTAGGGCTTGTAGTTCTCCAACACCCGATAGGTAATTATTGACTAAGGCAGTTGTGCAGAGATCATTTTTAGAACTCCTTTTTAAGTGAGGAGTTCATTAACCACAAACCAATTTCACCAAAATAGGAATTGCACCAAGAATTTGGCAAAGCAAAATGGGATAGCTTGTTTACTCTCCACCATTTAACAAAAACTGAAATAAATACATTTGCGAGGTATCACTTGTTAAGCCAATGGGTGGCCATACAGAGTCCAATACAAGCAAGTGATTGCAGTCCAACCCCACCCATTGATATCACCTTGGTACACAAGACTTACAATATGGGCATAGTAACACCATGGCTAGAATGGGTGCACTCTTCTAAAACCATAAGCCTTGTTCAGTTCACAGATGGTACAAGAGACAGTGTGGAAATTGAGAGATTTATGTGCAACTTGATTGCTTCCTGTGAAGTGCCACTGGAACTTCACCTCATTATGCAAATTAGTCACATGCCCAGTTCACTAGAGTAGATGTTTTCTTTTAGGCTAATGCTAATTAAAACTTGGTAAGGAACAAAAGCAACAGAAACAGAGAAAGAGTAGCAAGGAAGTCACAGTGATCATTCAGCTGTGTAGATAAAGCTTAAGCTATTGACAGATGTAAAGAACAGACTCTTTTCAGCATAGCAGTAAAGATTAGTCTGAAAAAACTTGAGAAAGGAACCTAGAGCTTCACCCGCTGCCAGAAAATCCTACGTTTTAACTATTTATATGCAATATTTCATATTTAGAGGTATAAAACAGATATTTGATGGAACTTACTTATGTTTCCAACTTTAATACCACAAGGCATTCTATATCGTATTACTCGTTGTAACCTCATCTTTTATATTTCATTAAAAAAATTGTATTTTGTTGTGTTTTGGGGCATTTAATTAAATTTTTCACTAAATATTGGGGTTTAATAAGGAGTTGCGCTAATATTGCGCAACATAAAAATTTGCAACTACCACCATTTTATTCTATAGGGTCTTGGCATTCAGAAAATATATAATGATGGGGGGTTTTAAGTAATTTTCAGGCCTAAAATGTGGAATATAACATGGGTACAAAAAATGAAAAAAAGGCCTCAGTCATGAAGGGGTTAAGAGAAGGGAATTTTCCTTTGAGGTGAAGTAAATGAGGTGAAGCTCTGCTGACTTCCATTATCCAATCATGTGCAAGCAAAAACATTTTTTTTACATTTTCATGGCACAAGTTTGGATATTCTTTGCAAAAAGGGCAATTTCCATGGTTGTCATGGTGTCAAAGTTTTCTACTTCATTTGTTGCATAAGGGCTATGGCAGTTGTACTTGAACTGCAATAGTTCCTTTTGAAAGGAACAGCATAATTATTTAACCAGAGAATGGCAACTGTACTGTGGGAAAATACCATAATATCAAAGTCTGATGTAAGTTTATTGAGTCTCAGTTGTGAATGTCAATAGCAGTTCAGTGGCTGCTCTGTTAAAACTGTGGAAGCAAAGTTAACCTTTAAGGTTTTTTTTAGACAAATAGTAGATCTTCTACTGTGATGGCAATTAAGACCTTTGTAGAGTATTTTTTTAATTATTTGTACTATGATAGGGATGCAGCCAGGAAGGATTATTAAATCTGGTGTTGGTCTATATTTCTAATACTTTCACATGCCATGTGAACAGGTAGGGGTCCAATGGACCCCTGAACAGTTCCCTGAGAACAGGTATCAGAAGACAGAAGTATTAGCTTAAGTTCTCCCTTTGAGAAATAGGGGCAAAAAAGTTGCAAACAAACCCTGTAGTCTGTGCATCAAGAATCAGTACCCAATCCCTATTGGTACCTGACTGATATTTTGAGAGGCATGCCACAATTTTTAGGGCACCCTTATTGAATAGGCTAGGATCTGGATTAACAATGACAGGGGCAAGAAAGTACACTCATGGTCCTCCAACTATTTTACCTGGGGTGTCAGGCTGGCATCTTGATGAATGGACCTTGCATATTTATCATTTTTAAAAATGCAGTTACCGGCAAATTGGTGGATTACAATCTAGTGTATATAATGGTTGCCAATGGAAAGAATCAATGGTGGAGCTGATTATTTTTTATATTTGCTCATCTATAACAGCAAGACATGCTAACCTGCCATTCTATTTTTAAAGTGTCATGGAGCAAATGTAGTAAATGTTTCAGCCTCCAAGATAACAAACATTACATACTCTTTCTTTCCACTAAACTTACTATTCTCTATTTTGGCATATGCCTTTTATCTGGTTACAATTTCCTTTGCTTGAGTATTTAATAAAAGATTTAAAGCCAGCAAAGTGAATATGAAG